GCCTCTGCCTCCTGTGTGCTAGGATTAAAGGCATGCACCAACTTTGGCTGCATAGTGACTTTGAGGCTAGCATGGGCTGCACAAGATCTTGTTGCAAAAACAAAGAAACAGGCCTGTGAAATGGTTCAGTGGATAAAGGTGCTTGCTGCCAAGGGTGGCTACCTGAGTTCAATCCCTAAACATATATGGTGAGAAGAAAGAATCAGTTCCTACAAACTGTCCTCTGACTTCCATATATGTGCATGGGCACACATGCCAACACACACACACACACACATGCATACATATATACGAAAGAAAGAAAGAAAGAAAGAAAGAAAGAAAGAAAGAAAGAAAGAAATGTGATAGAAAACTTTTTAGACAGAGTCTCACTATAGCCCTGGCTGGCATGAAACTCAATATGTAGACCAGGCTAGGCTTGAACTCACAGAGATCAGTCTGTCGCTGCCTTCTGAGTTCTGGGATTAAAGGCATGAGTCATCATGCATGCCCAGCATTGAAAAAAAAATAAAATTAGCACAGAAGAATATCCAAAGACAGCAATCTACAAACTGGAGGCTGGTTTCCCAGGTACTTAGTGATGAACACTGGAAGGTTTTCCAGAGCTATCTGAAATAATACCCCATTTGAGACAGGGGCTGGGACATTAGCAAACCTGCCAACTGTGGCAGCAACAGAAGGAAGTGGACAAGAAAGGAAAGGCCTAAAGAGGCACGTCAGTTCTCAGGAGTAATAAGTCTAGAAACAAAGAAAGGAAATGCAGAATGTGTGGGGAAGGGGAGGGGGTTACAGCTGGATTTTGGGGGCCAGGCTGGACTTTTTGTTTTGATACATTTTCCTGACCGAAAGCCAATGTTCTTGCCACACAAATTCAAAATGACCTTAACAAGAACAGCCTAGGAGATGTGATCTGTAGATGCCAGACTGCGTGCAAACAAGATGGAAACACCTTAGAGTTTCACAAAAATAAAACGAAGGGCAAAGAATGCCTGCCAAAGGAGATGGCGACCAATGTTTTTAAAGATGGAGGGATGAAGGAGCAAGGCATCCTTGCCTCCAGCCTGCTGAGTATCTCCTGCTTTAAAAGGGCAATTTTAGGGGCTGGAGAGATGGCTCAGTGGTCAAGAAAACTGGTTGTTCTTGCAGAAGACCCGGGTTCGAATCCCAGCACCCACATGGCAGCTAACAACTGTCCATCACTCCAGTTCCAGGGGTTCTGACAGCCTCTTCAGTCCTCCGCAGGCATGGCTCGATACGGGTGCACTCATATACTTGCAGGCAATACACTCATACACATAAAATAATAATTTTTTTTTAAAGGCAGTTTTAGCTAAGGGCTTCTGAGATAGGGACTTGCCAAGGGCTGAACGCTGATGTTTTAGCGCCACCCAGTGGCCTTTCTGGGTATGGCAGCTTTGGTTCACTACAGCACACAGAAAAGCAGGATCTGTGGTTTAGTTCTCATTTGACAATGAAAAATGAGGAAAAGGCCGTTAGACTTCATTCCATCATCACTAATTTAGCTCAGAAGAAATGGAACTTTGCTGCCCAGGCATCAATCAACTGACACTGCTCAAGGACCAGCCCAGGCTAACTCTTCACATTCTATTTTCTCCCTAGTGGAGATAGAGACAGGAGAGACTGAATTCTTCCATAGGATTCTCAAAGGCTGAATCTACAGCTCCTAAGAGGTCCCTCCCTGGGCAAAAGGGATTTATGTGCAGAAGAGAGAACTTAAAACGAGCTACCAGCCAGGTGAGCAACAAGTGCTATCCCATCAGGGCCTGCTGGTCATTTATTCAAACTCTGGAGACCACTTTATCTCTTAGAGGACAAAGACAATTCCAGAGTTGGATGGTGCTATAGACACAGGGATACAAAGCCTTGTGGGTTCTCTCCCCAAATGACCAAAGGCTTTCATAGTGAATTCCATGCCAATTTGGGCTACCCTGTCTGAAAAAATATGAGAGAGAGAGAGAAAGAGAGAGAGAGAGAGAGACATCTGAATAGACATGACTTGCTGGGTTCCCTGTCTATTTGCAATACTGCCTAGGCCACACCAACTCTGTTAAAGACTCAGGACACAGCCCAGAAAGCCTCAGCTAGCTGAGCTTTTCCAGGCCTGATGGGTGATGTGCACAGAGAGGCATGGAGGTCCCACACTCCCTCACCCCCCTGCATCTCTCCATCTGTGTCCTTTGCTGCAGCCTTTAGAACAAACAAGTAAACATGTTTTCCTGATTCCTATGAGCCACTTGAGTAAATGAATCAAACCTGAGCAAGGAGCCATGGGAGCCCCAGTTTATACCAGGTAAATCAGAAAGTACATATCAAACACCGGGGGCCTGTGACCTACACCTGGAGTGGTGGGGGGCAGTCCTGGGGACTGGGGTCTCTCAGCCTCCAGGATGTGACAGTGTTCAGGGAGATAGTGTTAGAACCGAACTGAATTAGAGACCACCAGTGTCCACTGCAATGTTACTGACTCACTGGTAGGGAGGAAGCCCTGCATCTTTTTTTTTTTCTAAGTATGAATTTATTTTACTTTATTTGATTTCATTTTAGTCGTTTGGAGACAGAGTCTCCCTGTAGCCCCAGCTGGCCTGACACTTGCTTTGTAGACCAGGTTGGTCTTGAACTCACAGAGATCCTCCCGCCTCTGCCTCCTGAGTGCTGGGATTAAAGATGTGCGCCACCACGCCCAGCTCCCCACACCTTTTAAGGTCAGAACTCTTCTGTGTTGATTTTTGTGGTGTGAGAACACAAAGGATATTGGGGGAGGGGGGGTTGTGACACAGACTCTTACACTGTAACCCAGGCTGGCCTTGAAATCATGGCAGTTCTCCTGCCTCAGCCTCCAGGGTGTTAAGATTACAGGCATACATCATAGTGCCTGGGTGGGAATATGTGTTTCTTTTTTATTTTTTATTGCATTTATTTATTTGTTTGTGTTGGTGTATATCTGTAGGTGTATATCTGCCACAGTGTACATGTGGAGGTCAGAGGTCAACTTGCAGGAGTCAGTTCTCTCCTTTCACCTTGTAGGTCCCAGGGATCAAACTCAGGTCATCAGGCTTAACAGCAAGTGCCTTTTCGCTCTGAGCCATCTCACTGACCCAGGAATATATATTTCTTGAGGCAAAACCATGCTATTTTCTCCTTACAACAAACCTAGTGTCTTCTTGAGAAAGACTAGAATAATCTACAAAGATCCAGATTGTTATTTATTTCCCTTTTTACATTAATACAAAATGAAGTTTATGTTAGTGCAGCCTACCAACCAACCAATATTTGTGGGATACAAATATCCCTAATTGCTCACATCACTAACTCACTCTGATGCTGTTGTTGACAAGATCTTACTCTATAGCTCAAAATGGCCTCAAAATCATAGCAACCTTCCTGCCTCAGCCTCCCACGTGCTGGGATTACAGGTGTGAGACACCATGCCTGGCTGAACTTCCCTTCTTGCATGAAAAGCAAACTTTCCCAAGGCAAGGACTTAGCTAATGTTTGAATGCCATGCAGTAACTAAGTATGGGGATATTTTTTCTTCCTTCATAAAAGAGATTTCTTAACCCTTTGCCCCACAGACTTGTTTCTTGGATTAAGTAAGAATTTTTAGGTACCGTATCTCTGCCAAGATAGGTTATGAACCAATTCTGTCAAGTAAGAGCTCTGTACCTGTCCTTTCCTACAACCAAAACTCTGGTGAGACTAGATGTGGTGGTGCACAGATGTAATCCCAGTGCTTGGGAGATGGAGGCGTGAGAGGAGCTGCCAGGGCTGGGGAAGTGGCTCTGTGACAGTTTCTACATGAAGCCTTGGGTTTGGTCCCCCTTAGGTGTGTGGTGGTGTCTAAAGACAAGTAGATTCCTAGAGCTCATGGACCAGCCAACCTAGCCTACCCAACTCAATGAGAGATCTTGTCTCAAAAAAGGATGGACAGTAGGCCGGGTGTGGTGGCACACGCCTTTAGTCCCAGCACTTGGGAGGCAGAGGCAGGCAGATCTCTGTGAGTTCAAGGCCAGCCTGCTCTACATAGTGAGTTCCAGGCCAGCTGGGGCTACAGGGAGGCCCTGTCTCAAAAAGACCAAAAAAAAAAAGGATGGACAGTGCCTGAAGGACTGAAAGTTGTCCTCTGGTGTCTCCACATGCATACACACATACACACACAATTTTTAAAATAAATAAGCATTAAGCTGGGTATGATAGCACAAACCTGTAATCCCAGTACTTGGGAGGTGGAGGCAGGAGTATCAGGAATTTAAGGTCATTCTCAGCTACATAAGTCTAAGATCAGCTTAGACTACATAAAACCTGTCTCAAAAAAAAAAAAAAAAAAAAAAAAAAAGATTGAGAGATGAGTCATCAGGGTAAAGGCACTTGCCACTTGCTACCAAGCCTGATGACCTAAGTTCAACTCATAGGATCTGAATGGTAGAAGGAGAAGACTGACTGGCTTCCCTAATTTATATTCTGACCTCCACATGCACACTAATGCACATCCATACCCATACCCATACCCACAAACATACACGCATGCACTAAAAGAATGGGGGAGGGGGCTGGAGAGATGACTCAATGGACCAGGGTTCAATTCCCAACACCCACATAGCAGTTAACAACCATCCATAACTACAGTTCCAGGGGATCCAACACCTTCTTCCAACCTCCTCAGGCACTGCACAACACCGGTGCACCTACCTACATGCAGGCAATACACTCAAACACATAACTAGATAGTAAATAAAATATTTTTTTAAAAAGGAAATTTCTAAATAAGTGAAAATATAAAATAATTTTAATTTTGAAAAAAGGAGGAGGCTCAGTGGGTAAAGGCGCTTGCTGCCACACCTGGAGACCTGAGTTTAATCCCCGGGACACACACAGCAGAAGAACCAACTCCAAGCTGTCCTCTGATCGCTATACAAGTACCGTGGGCCAGTCAAGGCAGCACACATAGACACACACCCAGAATCAATAAATGAATGTGAAGAGAGTTATCGTCATATCTTTATTGCATATCCATGTGAATAACTTACCACGCAACAAACACACCCCCGAGAGCAGACACCACGCACTCCCAGAGCTGGAGGTGAACACAGTATAAATCTATTTACAGAAGCTGAGGAGGGGGGAGGGGGGACAAGGAGAAGAGTAAATGCCAGGAATTTATGGCAAGAACAGTGCCCAAATTCCCCTGACAAGGAGAACTGAGGCCTCGTGAGGTCAGGAAGAGCTCCTGGCAAAGTACATGGGGTGATTAGATCTGGGGGGTTGGTTGACAGCAAGTTTGGGGTATCATGAAACAGGAACAGTGCCCTTGTGAGTTAGTGCCACCCGGTGGAGCAGACAGTTGGTGACCTTTAGTTTCTCCTACCCAGGCAGGAAGGCCTGGGAGGGCAGTGCCAGGTAGGATTCCGGTGTGCACTGAGATGGATGGGGAAGAGACCCAGGTGTTTGCTGGGTTTGTCTGCTGTTCAGCTCTGGGCCAAGCCATCCTCAGAGGCCCCGCCCTAGGTTTGATGAGTAGGCTTCCAAAGCTCGATAAGTCAGCATGTGGTCAAGTGACTACACTTTTAGTCACTCGCTCGAGAACGGTTAAGAGTCTGACCCTAAGATGCAGGAGACTCCCACTTCAAAGAGGACTAAGTACGGGACTAAGGAAAACACTGGAACACTGGAAAGAGGCAGTCTGTTAGCTGCAGCAGCAGGCGCCCCAGACGGTGCTCTGGGAGTGGCACAAGCCGGGTCCGCTGGTGTTTCTACCATTCCCTTAGGATGCCCGGATTTGGTCCACACCCGCAGGACTCCCGGCTGGGTCTGATGCCTGGCTCCGTTTGTCCCACTTTTCCAGACAGTTAGCTGCCCTCTTTCCGTCCCTCGTAGTCACCGTAGGGGCTGGTCCGGGCCTGGGCCCGCGGGATGGAAAAATCCTTCTGGGGATTCGGATTCTGCAAAGGAAGCAGGCATGTGGTTAATTCAATTCACTCCACCTGCCTGCTATCTCAACGGACCGCCAATCACCTTCTTCCAAGACCTCTCCAGCTCCTCCCTGAGTCAATGCTCCACCCTAACCCCAAAAAGCAGAAGTCAGGAAAGAAGGCATGTTACCCTTTCAGTGCTGATGGCTTAGGAACCACCAGACTGGTGATAACATTATTCCCAAAAGACAACTGCCCTTCTAAGAGGGTGGACGCTGCTGAGGATGGAGAAAGGTGACTTACCTGCAGTTGAAAATGGGTGGAATAAGACGCATAGGATGTATCCCCGATATCCTCAAGACCTGAAACACAGGGAGAAGAGAAGATGAAGCCCCAAGGCACCCACTTGTGCTCACCCTGCTGTACCACTTATAGTATGGGGGAACAGCTTGCCCCATTGTCCAGCAGCGACTTCAAATTTCTCTCAGGGAGAGAGGATGCCCTCCAGCCCAGAATCAGGCTGGGAGGAAGCACAAATTGGCAGAATGGACGAATGGTGAGCAGTGGCAGGTGGCAGGAGGGACCCCTTTCTAAAACATGCATGCAGAGCACCCCCCCACCATGCTCTGGACCACATCCAAAGCTCATTTAAAGCTGTCATGGTGGTGCACGCCTTTAATCCCAGCACGCGGGAGGCAGAGGCAGGTGGATCTCTGTGAGTTCAAGGCCAGCCCGGTCTACATAGTGAATTCCAGGGCAGCTGGGGCTACAGGGAGACTCTTTCTCAAAAAGACCAAAAAAAAAAAAAATCACATTTGAAGAAAACCAGGTTTAGTGGCAAACACCTGTAAACTCAGCATTCAGATGGGTGAGGCAGGAGGGTCACCATGAGTTTGGAGCCAGCCTGGGCTACAGAGTAAGACCCTGTCTGAAAGAAACAAACAAAAACAAAAATACATTTGTCGAGTCTTTAAGTCTTTCCAGGTCTGTCTAGAAGTGTACCTAGAGGGATGGTCCATCACAGGAGCCCGTTTCAACTGCCGGACAAGGGAAGAATCCATGAGCAGCTGTATTCTATATATGTGGGGAAACAGGGGGTTTGGTACTGGAGCTCACTTTAAAGGAACTCCCTAATTTCCTGACAAATTTACCTGCCACCATTTCATTTAAGATAGTTTAAAGAGATAAGCATGGCAGGACACTTGAGTAATCCTAGTACTTGAGAGACGGAGCCAAGAGGATCAAGAGTTCAAGGTCATCCTCAGCTACATAGTGAGTTCCAGGCCCAGGGCTACATGAGATCTTACTGTCTCAAAAGTAAACATAGGGACTGGAGAGATGGCACAGTGGGCAAAGGCACTTGCTGTCAAGACGGATGACCTGAATTCAATCCCTGGAACCTACATGGTGAAAGGAGAGAACTGACTTCCACAAGTTGTCCTGTGTCCACATGTGTGTTGTAGCATGCCCATGCACATAAATAAAATGCAATACTAAAACTTTTTTGCCTGTCATGGTGGCCTATGTGGTTAATCCTAGTACTCAGAAAGCAGAGGCAGGTAGATCTCTGTGAATTCAAGGTCAGCCTGGTCTACATAACAAGTTCCAGGCTAGTTGGGGCTACATAGTGAGACCCTGTCTCAAAAGAAAAAAAAAAAAAAAGGTGGGGGTGCTAGAGAGATAACTCAGCCATTAAGAGCACTGGCTGCTCTTACAGATGACCTGGGTTCAGTTCCCAACACCCATATGACAGCTGATGCCCTCCTCTGATCCCTGTGGGTACTGTACTCGTATGGTGTACTTACATACATGTAGGCAAAACATAAAAATAAATAAAAATTTTTAGAAAACATAGGAATTTTTAGACTAAGAATAAATAAACAAGCAAAGATAGTCTGAGGAACTTAAGGTCTATCCTGCCCTGCAAGAAATACGACAAACACACAGGTCACCACTGAATGTGGCAAAGGCTGATAAGAGCATCTCAAAGTTCTACAGGTGCATAGGGTGGAGCAATTCCTAAGAGACAATGGGGAATGCTGGACTTTGAAGAGACAGAAAAACAGCTGCATTTTGACCCAGACACAGAGTCTGGAAGACAGTGGTGATTTGTGGCCTGGCAGGGAATGGTGTGGAAAGTGTGAAGGCCTCACTATTGATCGGGATCCAACATAATAGGCTCCAGGGCAGCATCGAGGAATGTGGGCAGCAACAGGAAAAGCATTTGAGGGGGAGGAAACAGACAGGGGCTCAAGAGGCAAGGCAAGAAGCCATGTCAGGCATGCTGGTACACACCTGCAATCCAAGCACTCTGGAGGCAGAGGCAGGAAAAGCACCTAAAGTCAAGGCCAGTCTGGTCTATATGACAAGTTCTAGGACACTGGGACTACATAGCAAGACCCAGCCTCAAAGAGCCAAACACAGAAACAAGAACCAAAAAGGAGGACTCATTAGGGGCCTAGGAACCTATAGCAGAAGTCCAAGGTGAGGCAGTAGGCTGAAACTCTGGGAATATTCAGAGTGGTGTTCCTGCCCTCCCACCCTCAGGCTTTCTCATGCATGTAGGAGGCCACAGAGACCCCAGGAAGCCCTGTGGTCCATGTCTTAAGAGCACAGCCTAGGAGAGTTCAGTGATAGAAAGCTTGCCTGGCATGCAGGGGACCCTAAGTTCCATCCCCAGCACCACAGAAACAACAACAAAGAAAAAAAACAAAGTATCCAAGCTTTGAGCTGAGCCTGGAAGTGCATGTGATTCCAGCACTCTAGAGGAAGAAGCAGGGAACATCCTGAGCACAAGTTCAAGGCCAGCCTGGTCTACATAGAAAGACCTTATCTCAAAACAGTGGAGTCAAGACCTCATTATATCTGAATCCAAGAACCCAGCCTCGAAGGTCCTTCATGACTGTCCAGAAAGCACTTCCCCTCAGAGGCTACACTCAAAGATCAGTGTAATCCTGGAGATAAGCAACAGGCCATGTCAATTTCTAGCCCTCAACTCAGCCTCTTTTTCTTCAGCACTGCCCCTGGCTTCTCACAGCTGTGGGTAAGAATAAAACCATCTCATTCTCTCATTTCAGATATGATCTTTTCCCTCCCATAGGCCCAGATTCGTACAGTAAAATGCGGTTGTTCATGCTAAAGCAAAGTCCCCATGAACTTTATGAAGATACCTGATGACTTGTGATAACAGGGCTTCCTCCCTCCAGCCCTCTGAGACCACTGAAGGAAATCACAGCTTGGCTCTTGGCACTCACAAAATACAAAGGCTCCACATTTCTGCAAGGAATGCCTTTTTTTTTTTTTTTTTTTTTTTTTTTTTTTTGTCTTTTTGAGACAGGGTCTTCCTGTAGCCCCAGCTGTCCTGGACCTCACTATGTAGACCAGGCTGGCCTCAAACTCAAAAAGATCTGCCTGTCTCTGCCTCCCAAGTGCTGGGACTAAAGGCGTGTGCCACCACGTCTGACAGGAACGCAATGCCTTTTAAAAAATAATAATAATAAGTGTATGTGTCTGTGCACATGAGTACAGGTGCCCTCAGAGACCAGGGGTGACGGATCCCCTCGAGCTGGAGTTACAGGCAGGTGTAAGCCACCAGATATGGGTTCCAGGAATTGAACTCAAAAGTCCTCTGGAAGCGCAGTATGCATTCTTAACCACTGAGCTATCTCCCAAGCTCCAGGAATGCCTTTATACACCTTGTACACAGAGCCTGACCTCACCCACACTCAGTAGGAATTTTCCCTTCTTTTGCCCCACCTTACTTTGATTCAAAGAGAAGTCAGTGTGGAATTGTGTAGAAAGTACTTGGTGAAGACTACAGATACCAGCTTCCAGTCTTGCTCAACTGGACAGAGATTTGAGTCAAGTTCAGAATCTGGAAAAATCCTGTTTCTTACAGTTCGGGGGTTTTGTTTGGAGGTATTTGTTTTGTTTGTTTTGTTGTTGTTGTTTGGGGGTTTTATTGTTTTTTATTTGTTTGTTTGTTTTTTGATGAGGGGCTCAAAGTAGCCCAGGATGACATTGAAATTCTGTTTCTCTTACCTCTGCCTTCCAAGTGCTGAGATTATAAGTATGTGCCACCACACCCCAGTACCCTTACGGTTATCACAGCCAGTGATTCTTCCTCTGCCCCATCTCTCTGTCTGTCTGTCTTTTTTCAGATGTTTCTACTTCTGGGTTTTGGGTATTTTGTTGTTTGTTCTGTTTTTGTCCTCTACCTTTATTCCTCTTTTCCATAGTTGAGATAACACGGTTTTCCAGAGATGCCTTAGATGGGCTTACCACTAACTAAGATAAAACCAGAAGGCAGACACTAGGGTTGGACAAGGGGGTTAGAAAATATCCTTTTACTGTGAATGGAATTTCTGCTGATATTTTTAAAGAATTACAGGTTTACAGCTGAGAATGTTTTTGTGTTTTGGAGACAGAGTCTTGTGTGGCTCAGGCTGACTTTCAACTCCATATGTAGCCAAAGATGACCCTGAGTTTCTGATCTTCCTGCCTTCACCTCCTAAGTGTGGAGATTACAGGTCTATGCCACCACACTAAGTTTATGTGACACTGAGATGCTGAACCAAGTGTTCATGCATAATAGACAAACACTTTACCAAATGAGCTATATCCCAGCCCACCAGCTTTTGGTATTTTGAGACAGTCTTTTTAAAAAAAAAATATATATGTATGAGTGTTTTACCTGCATGTATGTAAGTGCACCTGTTTGTGCAGTGCCCACAGAGGCCAGGAGAGGGCATTGGATCCCCTGGAACTGGAGTTACAGATGGTTATAGCTGCCATGTGGATGCTAGGAACCAAACCCAGGTTTTTTGCAAGAGAAGCTCTTAATCACCAAGCCATCTCTCCAGCCCCTTGAGACTGTCTTTCTATGTGACCCAAGCTGACCTTGAACTCATGATCCTCCTGCCTCCACCTCTAGCGTGCTGAGATTAGAGGTGGGGTGTGAGTGTGTGTGTGTGTGTGTGTGTGTGTGTGTGTGTGTGTGTGTATGCGTGCCTGACTTCTCCCCCATCTTTCTGGCAAAGGCTTCTCAACCATACCTTGTGTGATTTCCTCTTGGGAGTATGCTCTGTTCTCTACACCATAGCTCTGCTTCATGAGTTGAGGTTTACAAAAAGCATCTTCAACTGGGTAATCCATAGCACTTCGCTGTCTCGGGAGCTGTAGAAACTCAGGTAAAATATAAAAGGCCAGGAAAACCCAGCCATTGGCAACCAGGGCGGTGCTGAGGATGGTGTCATCCCACTGTGGGTCAATGTCGGGAACCAGGAGCACGGCAATCCAGGCCACCCAGACGGCAATAGAAAACAGTGCAGTGAGGCAGATGTGGACCCCGTGTCTCTTCCAGCCAGGGAAGGATCCACAGAAGATGAAGAAGGATATGAGCAAGGTCAGCACCATCAACAACATCACATAGATGAGGAGCATCACAAAGTCCTCATTGCGTCTCAAGGCAGGCAGCTCAGAAAAAATGTTGACATTGGTCCTGTTCATGGTGAGGACAAGGTATTCGATGGCAATGACGTCCTGGACCAGGCTGAAACCCACTGCCAGGCTCAGGATCACCAACCAGGACAGGGGCTTCCTCCCTCGGACCAGCTTGGTCAAGTTGAAAGCATGGGCCAGGAGACAGGAGAAGCAGAGGGCAAAGAGAACACCGAAGAGGAAGAAGCGCGTGGGCCCCGTGGCCCCATCCAGTTTGATGATGAAAGCGAAGGTCAAGCCAAAGACCCCTAACACACCCAGGAGGAACAGAAACTGGGTGGGGAGCATCTTGCGTCTGTTGGAGTCCTGCACTTTGCAGATGACGATCAAAAGAGCAAACATAAAGGCCACTGAGGTCACAGCCCCCACTGCAGCCAGTGTTTCTAGGGCGATGCCCCAACCTTCAGCCAGGTCACACAGTCTGTAGTACCTGGGGTCCAGGTCTGAGCGGCAACCTCCAGGGGCAGGAGATGTGGCAGACATTCTGGTTGTTTCTGCATTAAAAAAAGAAGAAAAGTCATGAAGCAGGCAAACCTCCTCAAAGTAGGACTCTACATTCAAGTCCTAGCACTGAAAAAGAAAGAAAGGAAGGGAGGGAAGGGAAGGGAAGGGAAGGGAAGGGAAGGGAAGGGAAAGGGAAGAGGAAGAAGAAAGATCACCATGTTTGTAAATATCACTGTCACTAGATGATTTTATACGGCCAGATACCCTAATACTCTAATATAGATCTGCCAATAGTACTTGTGCCTGTAGACCGGGAACAAGCTTTAAGAAAGTGGAACTTTTTGGATCAAAAGGGAGGGAGGGAGGGAGGGGAGGGGAGGGAAGGAAGGAAGGGAGGGAAGGAAGAATGAATCTGGGACTGGAGAGATGACTTAGCAGTTACAATGTGTACTGTTCTTCCAGAGGTCCCCAGTTCAGTTCCCTGTACCCATGTCAGACAACTCATACCCGCCTATAACTCCAGCTCCAGGTGATCCAATGCCCTCTTCTGGCCTTCTTGGGTACCTGCACCCATGTACACATACCCACACACAAGCACATACATATATATATATACTTTGAAAATAATAAAAATAAATATCAGATTGGGGAATTGCCTGGATAGATCAAGTATAACTTCCTCTTTCTCTTCTTAACATCTCAGGGAGAAAGCCCCCTTTCTCTGCCCTGAGCCCCCTTGCTGTTTGCCCAACCTTATGACGTCTAAATCCCATACATAACAGGAAGTTAAACTAGGAAAGAGACTCAAGTTTCCATATTGCCTCAAAGCAGATGCCTCTCATATTTCAAAGTCAATACCAGGTAAGCTGAAATCCAGCACTGCTAAACATAACTGTCTATAATTCTAACAGTTTCTAAATAAACTACAAATCTTCATTGAATTATTCTGCTGCCTGTCCCTTTTGGGTTTTTGTTTGCTATTTGTGGGGGGGGTTCCTTTGTTTCTTATATTTGTTTTGTTTTTAATTTTTGGTTTCTTGAGACAGGCTGTCTTGTAAACCAGGCTGGCCTCAAACTGGCTATGTAGCCAAAGATACCCTTGAACTCCTGCTCCTCCTACTTCTACCTCCTGAGTGCTGGGGTTACAGGCAGGCACCACAAGTTCAGCTCTCTCTTTAGCTTTTTTCTGGTGGATTTGTTCAGTGGTCTTCATCAAAAGTCCTGATGAACTCTAGAGGACAGCCGCAGTCCATCAGGAAAGGATGCAGAGTCATGGAGGCAGCATCACAAGTCCTGATGAATTCTGAAGGACAGCTGCAGTCCATCAGGAAAGGATGCAGAGTCATGGAGGCAGCATCACAAGTCCTGATGAATTCTGAAGGACAGCTGCAGTCCATCAGGAAAGGATGCAGAGTCACGGAGCCAGGCTCCAGACAAAAGCATGGGCCTCTTCGAGGACCAGATAGGGCAGAGAATGTGCAGCAAAGAAACCGGGACTGAGAAGGAAGGCCTGGGCTGGGAAGCATCAACCAGTACACTGCACCAGCTGAATCCAGCCTCTCTCCAGAGGGCAAACGAAAATGAGTCAGAGTTTCGTCACCAAAGAGCCATAAATGCTTTTAAATGAGACTTTGCTGGCCATGCTAAGGAGTGTCTACCACCACAGGAGATTGTGATTACCCAGCAAATAGGGAACACCCTTCTCCTCCCATCCTGGGTCTTCATGACCAGCTCCCAAGGCAGGCCCATTTCTTACCAACCAGGGAGGGGCCTCCTCAGCAAACACCTGCCTCCTCTGAGATGTAAGCCATCAGGCAGGTGGCTCATGTGTGTAATCTCTGCACTTAGGAAGCTGAGGCAGGAGGATTGCTGAGTTGAAACCTAAGCTACATAATAAGTTACAGGTTAGCAAGAGCGAAACCCTACCACAAAAATAAATAAAATAAGTTAGATGACACAGCCATCATACCAAGGTTATTCAAATAGTACTATTTATTAAACTATACTATTGTATTCAAAGAGTAATGAGTGAAAAATTATACATAGATGAATATATTATACGTACACATAATTTGTTTGTATGAATGCATACTATATGCATTAGAATAGTTTTAAAGATTTATTTCATTATTTTTTATTATGTACATGTGTGTTGGTGCATGTATGTGCACACTAAGTGGAGGTGTCCATAGAGGTCAGAAGAGGTTGTTAGATCCCCTGGAACTGGAGTTACAGATGGTTATTAGCCACATGTTGGTGCTGGGACCCAAACCAAGGTCCTCTACAAGAGCAGCCAGTGCTCTTAACCACTGAGCCATCTCTCTAGCCCTGACAATTTTATTATTTTTTTTAATTTTTATTTTATGTGTATGCATGTATTGCCTACATGTAGGTAAGTGCACTTGTGTCATGCAATGCCCTCGGAGGTCAGAAGAGGCTGTCAGATCCCCTAGGACTGGAGTTACCGACAGTTGTTAGCTGCCATGTGGGTGCTGAGATTCAAACCCAGGTCTTCTGCAAGAACAACCAGTGTTCTTAACCGCTGAGCCATCTCTCCAGTCCCGATTTTATTATTTTTAATTAGGTGTATTTGTGTGTCTATGTGTGGTTGTGTACACATAAGTGCAGATACCCATGGAGGCCAGAAGAGGGTGCCAGATCCCCTGAGCTGGAACTAGAGGTGACAGTGAGCTGCCTGGCATAGGTGCTGGGAACAACAGCAAGTGCTCTTAACTGCTAAGGAGCTCTAGCCCCTTTACATTAGAATATGCATAGCATGTTAGGATAAAACAGCACCAAGATAAAGTTTAACTCTACAGACTTCCTTATTATTGAAATCCAGCTCTCTAGATTTAACTTTCACTTTTTTTTCTTTTTTTGGTCTTTTTGAGACAGGATCTCCCTGTAGCCCCAGCTGACCTGGAACTTGCTATGTAGACCAGGCTAGCCTCAAACTCACAGAGATCCACCTGCCTCTGCCTCCTGAGTACTGGGATTAAAGGCGTGGGCCACCACACCCAGCTATTAACTTTCACATTTTATAGTGAATCTTTTAACAAAGTTTACTGCTGTGGTTTCAAACAGGGTTTATCCCTCTCTATCGCACAGCTCAGTCTGAAATTGAATCCCCACTGTGAGGTAATGAGAGGGTGGAAACTGCTGGATACGGTGGTGCACATCTGTAATCCTAGCACTTGGGAGGTGAAATAGGAAGATCCAGAGTTCAAGGCCAACCTGTGCTGCATAGTGAGTTGGAAGCTAGCCTGCGCTAAAAAAGCAAAAGCAATGAAAAGAGGGTAACTTAATGAGACTGTAGTATTTAAGTGGGGCCTTCAAGAGGTTCTTAGGGTTAGATAAGGTCATTGGCATAGATTCCTCAAGACTGAATTCTGGTAGCTTTACAAGAAGAAGAGAGACCAGCAAGACATAGACACACACAGGCTTCCTGCCCTGGTCATGTAATACCTTGTACTACCTTGAGATTCTGCCAGCACGAGGCCACCCCAGATGTGACCCATAGCTCTTGAGCCATAAGCCAAAAGTAAACCTTTCTTTCTCTTTAAAGTTGCCCAGCCTCGGGACTGGAGAGATGGTTCAAGGGAGAAAACACCCTCCGTGTCTCATCTAAGGGCAGAAGGGCCTGACATTTCATCACTTTATTTCTCCTTCCTTATTTAGATTAACCACAAGGGCATCTAACCAGAAGGACCTTCTGTGTCTTCGTGTCCCCAACTGTTTTGTCAATTGCCACTTCATCCTTCAATGTTCTGCTGTCTGTGGAGAGCAGTTGGTACTTGATCATTATGAAGAACTTTGAACCTAATCATAATTACCTGATCATTATGAGGAACTTTGAATATGATGATTCCAAACCTTGACAGAATTGGTGGCCTTTTGCTTAAAAAACAATTCCTGTGTCGGGCAGAGGAACAGTAAGGCAGAGGTCCCTGACTTCATGTTTAACTGTGCAGGACTGTGTCCTCTTGTCTTGTTTTTGAGACAGTATCACATGTAACACAAGTTGGCCTAGACCTTAGTGTGTAGCCCAAGATGACCTTGAACTTCTATCTCCAGCCTCTACCTCCAAAGTGCTGGAATTGCAGGCATGCATCACCATGCCTGGTTTATGCAGTGCTGGGGATTGAACCTAGGACCTCATGCATGCTAGGCAAACATTACCAACTGAGCTACATCCCAACCCTGAGCATACCTCCACAGTACCTTTTTTTATATTTTAATCATAACTTTAATTTTTATGTTATAAGCATTTTGCCTGCTTGTATACTAGTGCACCTCTGTGTGCAATGTCCATGGGGGCTAGAAAAGGACATTGGATTCCCTGGAACTGGAGTTACAGATGGTTGTGAGATGCCATGTAAGTGCTGGGAACTGAACCCAGATCTTCTGCAAGAGCATCCAGTGCTCTTAATCATTGAGCCATTTCTCCAGTCCCAAAAGCTTCAAATTAAAAATAATAATAATAAAAAAAACTTCTACAAGTATTTGTTATAGGAATCTTTATAATGGAGACACAAGTATCCATTAACCATTTTTAAAAATTATCAGCCTATGGCTAACTGGGCTTCAATTAATTCCTCACTCCACTCATGACACTGCTTAATCAGATCCCAAATATCACATAATTTTATCCATAGATACATTAGTATGTCTCCTTGAAAGATTTTGAAAGCTCATACATTTTTCTTTGTTTTAGTTTTGAGGGCTTTTTTCGGCAACTTTTTGAGTTGGACAGGATCTTGCTACCTAGCTCAGGCTGGCCTCAAACTTTGGTAATTCTCCTGCCTCAGCCTCCAAAGGGCCAGGATTACAGGCGTGCACCATCATGCCTGCCTTAAAGATTCTTTAGTCACATTTAAAAACTGGGTGAAAAGCAGTTAACAGCACTGGCTGCTCTTCCAGAGGATCCAGGTTTGGTTTCCAGCACCCATATAGTGGCTAACAACTGTCCTGTTTCAGGGGATCCGATGCCCTATTCTGACCTCTGCAGGCATTGCAGGACACGAGTGCACTTACATACATGCAGGCAATA